CTTCTTTGAAGCAAGAACTGTGAGTGCTACAGAGAATTATATTTAAATTTGAGAAAGAACTTGGCAGTTTCTTATTGTTTGAGAGAGCCCTCCACAGTATTCATTCTCCTCTTGTCTGTATAGTGAGGATTAGGTCGGTCTCCTCCCCTCCTTTGTGTGCTCTCTGATCAGTTCTTCCGGATAACAGAAGAGGGACTGAGCCTATGGCAACCACCTGGTCTTCTTATTTGAAATTATAGTGTTTGAAACAACATCATTCAAATGTTAACAGGTATTACCTTTGAGTCATGGGTCACTTTCTGAAATTATTGTGGGAGATGAGATTTGATATTTCTGGTTGAAGAACTTGGTAGACAAAAAGCTGATTGATTAAGCTATGTTATTCACATATGAGAACTCTTACTAACTATTGTAAACGGTATGGTATATTCGAAATAAAATAAAACTTTAGTTACAAAAATGGAAGTATTTTTTAAGGTAACAGTTAAGATACTTATTTTTTTTGTATGTGTTTGATACTGATTCTGTGTTTTCTTTTTATTTATGAATTAAAAACTTTTTTTTCTTTAGGAGAAAGTGTTCCAGTGACAAAGACTAATTTGCCAAATCCTTCAGTGGACATAAAAGGAGCGGGAAATGAGATATATAGTCCAGAAACACATAAACGACACACCTTGTTTTGTGGGACTACTGTTATTCAAACTCGTTTCTACACTGGAGAACTTGTCAAAGCTGTAGTAGTTAGAACAGGTAGAAAGCCTGTTTTATGTAATCTCTTCTTGCATGTTTTCACATATTTAATGCCTATTGAATGTTTAAAAAGGGCTTGTGTTCTGGGAGACAGTTCTCATTTCCTTATAAAAATATAACCATTTTCCTCTTTAATTTTTTTTAAAGGATTTAGTACTTCCAAAGGACAGCTTGTTCGTTCCATACTGTATCCCAAGCCAACTGATTTTAAACTCTACAGAGATGCCTATTTGTTTCTCCTATGTCTTGTGGCAGTGGCTGCCATTGGATTTATCTACACTATTGTCAATAGCATTTTAAATGAGGTGCGTGCATCGGACTCTTTAGTAGGGTTTGATCCCTAATTATTTAGTCCATGTGGCTGTTGAGGATTTGAAACGTGGCTGGTGAGACTAAGGAAGTATATTTTAAATTTCATTTAATAATAGTTAATTTAACTATAAAAACTCACATGTGGCTGGTAGCTATCATACTAGACAGTGCAGATATAGAACATTCTAGTCATTGCAGAAAGTTCTTTTGGATAGCTCTGATTTAAATGGTCTTTTACTTGCTCTCTTGTGACTTAAAAAACAAAGGAAAATGAAAAAAACTATATACCTACAAAAAGACTTTTTTTTTTTTTTTTTTTAATCTCTGGGATAGAGTGTATAGTATTAAAATTATTTGTGATTACTTAAACTGAAGGCTTCTGTAAGGGGCCCTGTCACAGTTCCTTCTATCCTGTGTAGAGACTGAGTGACAAGTAAGTATTGAATTTACTTTAAGTGTGAGTGTGTGAAGTATGCAGGGCTATTAAAACGAGAAGTTTCTTTTAAAAATAACTGTCATTTCGCAATCTATTGACAATTCATTGAGCTTTCTGTTTGGCAAGAAGAAGGGAAGAAATTATAAATGGCTAATGTATATATACATCCACTCATTCTGTGTGAAATTGTTTGTAGAATTTTACTAAAGAAACACTCACTGTTCGTAAATATTTAATTTTGGGGTTGACATTTATTTTTGTGTTAATTATAGGTAGAAGTGAAGGAAATAATTGTTGAGTCTCTTGATATCATTACAATTACTGTGCCGCCTGCACTTCCGGCCGCAATGACTGCTGGTATTGTGTACGCCCAAAGAAGATTGAAAAAAGTTGGTATTTTCTGTATCAGTCCCCAAAGGATAAATATCTGTGGACAGCTGAATCTCATTTGTTTTGACAAGGTTGGTTCAGTTTCATACCATTCTCAAAGTCACTTTGTAGCTTTTAAATATTTAGATTAATGTTTTCCTTATTCTGTGACAACTCATTGGCACACATTCTTTAATGTTTCTGTATTTTCCTCTTTCTCAACTTCCTTGGCATACATCATTTTTTTATTATT